AGATTGTCTTCAAGTTGACTTGATTTGCTTTTTCAAGGCAGCAGGTGGACTTTCATTTGCAAGTTGAACTGACATGAACTGTTTTACAGTGTAGGCTTCACAATCATGGGGAGGACTGCTGACTTGACAGTTGTCCAGAAGACAGTCATTGACACCCTCCACAAGGAGGGTAAGCCTCAAAAGGTCATTGCTAAAGAAGCTGGCTGTGTGTAATGAATCCATTTATTTTTATGAGTTTCACTTTTTGAATTGAATTAATGAAATAAATTTACTTTTCCACGATATTCAAATGTATTGAGATGCACCTGTATATGTATATATATGTATATATAAATATATATATATTTATATTACAGAACAACGGTATAATCAACAGTAATACAAAAAGCGGAAGATGTAACAAACAAATAATAATAATTCTTATTCTTAAAATCAATGTGGTGTACTTCTTTGACGTGCCTTTAAAAACGGTGGCGATCTTCAGGTGCTCCTCCAGCACAGTGTGCAGGAAACAAAATCCACCAATCCCCTGAAAATGCCAGGGTTGACTGAAGAGTCTGTCCCGTCATGCCCACGCAAAGCCAACTCAAAAGCCCCACAAAACTTCATTATTTTGGATAAAATATGCCTGTTTTTATCCACCTCATTGTGTTTCCTCACCGCAATCCTGTGACCGTTGTCCAGCTGCGTAGCAGTTGCTTACTTGGGGCGATAAAATAATCGCTCCTCTGGTAGTAGTTTTGAGGACGCTGATTGGCTACATTTTATGTATCTTATAATCATATCTTGAATCAGCAATTGGCTAACCTGCTACAGAGACCCGCCTCCGTGGGGCGATTTCTCCATCGCCCCAGCACAGTACTTCAGACATACAGTGTACTAGGAAAAGCATATATTTTGCGCAAATTATTTTAAAATCATATTTTACACATATTTCTGGGTGCATTCCATATTTTAAACACACAAATATTGACAATTTATATAATTAATTAGTATTATTATTATTATATTGGCCAGCCGCCACTGTTCATCAGAACATGTCAGCCCGGGACTCTCGACCGGCCCACTTCGGTACCGCCGGCCCACTTCGGTATATATATCAAGTGCTAGTGAGTTATCCGAGCGGCCCACCTCCGTGCCGCAAGTGAATACCGCGAGGAAATTGTCAACGGGGGGGGGGGGGGGGGTGCTAGTGACTTATCCGAGCGGCCCACTTCAGTAACGGCCCATCGGGATTCCGATGGCCAGTCCGCCCCTGCCGTTAGGCCTACTTAACATATTGAAGTAAAAAAGTAGGGTTCTTGTTGCAGAGTTTGTGAAGTGACATGAACCCAAGCTGTTGCCTGGCAACATGATTCTGTTGATAGTTAATAAGGCTTATTACTGTATATTGCTTGATATTTGTAACACCAAACCAATGGAAAAAACCCACAGCAACACAGAAAAGCTGGTCTTAACATGACCCAGTGATCTAGTTTGTAAAACATTATAATATTAATATTCACTATTATATTATTCAAATGAAAAGAAAGCAGTAAAAAAACATAGTTTCCGGTGTTCCGACGAGCTCCGTCTCTCGGTCCTGACGGATGGCAAAAAAGGCAGATATTATGCAATTAAACAAATAAATAAAAACAATGGTAATTCCGACTTATTGTTGAGTAGATAACGGTGCGTGGTTTAGAAAAAGAATAACATATTAGATTCCAGTATCCTGAGACCCGCCTGTGATCTGAACGATTGGTGTGTACACTGAAAACAGTGGACCTGAGCAAGTAGTTATGTGGACTGCAAATAGTATTCTTCCTTTAGAAAAACAGACATAGAATTTGGTTTTGGTGCGCTCCGGCAGGACAACTGAACTCAATTGAAATGCAAAAGCCCACAGCGGCGGTGTCACAATGCTTTAATCTGAATTCATAATATAATCAGAGTTATCTGTAGATGGCAAATAGAAACTACATTTATTAGTGCCGTCATCCTCTGCCCTGTCAGTGAGCAACCTAAAAGATAAAGGGAAAATAAATGAATGCATGCCAGCTGTTCTGTGATTCTCCAGAACACAGATGGCCAGTCCCCTGCCCAAACTAGTTGCAGTTGGATTAAATGTTTATGTTTACATACAAATTGAAAGATTGTTTTACCTGTTTTCATAAATGTATCTATTTATTTCAATCATCCAGGTAGTATGGATGTTTTCCTGCCTTCCTGCCATAACTCCACAAACAAACGACATGTATTACAAACACCCTATGATTCACTAACAGGCACAGTGTACAAAACACCATCTACAAACTAATGCATTTGGTTTTGCAAGTAAACAACATATCTATCAAACAAACACATTGCATTTCTCTAATAAATAATGTCTCAGAAACAAAATACAGCATAGACATTACAAGTACACACAAATATTTTCTACGAGTACAAAAAAAAGCATGTGACTTTTGACAGGAATATTCCATCGTGGTTGTGCTGAGGATTTGATCACAAATGTCCTGAGTTATTCTCCACGGAGCAGGAAACACCGCTGTCATCAGACTGGCTGTTACTTGCTCTGCTCCACCCCCCTCCGTTTAAATGGACTCAGTAGCGCCCCCTCCTGCTGTGGAGAATAATTCAGGACATTTGTGAGAAAATCCCACGGATGTATCATAACCACGGCGGAATATTCCTGCCAAAAGTCATGTGATTTCTTTTTGTACTCGTAGAAAATATTTTTGTGTACTTGTAAGATCTATGCTGTATTTGTTTCTGAAACATGATTTATTATAGAAATGTAATGTGTTTGTTTGATAGATATGTTATTTACTTGCAAAGCGAAGTGAATCATAGGGTGTTTGTAATACATGTAGTTTGTTTGTGGAGTTATGCAGGAAGTTATCTCCATACTTTTTGTTTAAATGCACCAGATAATGTTCTAAAAAGGACATTAAGATGATTTGCCTAAAAAATAAATAATAAACTGTTGGAATATAAATAATGATTTAATTTTTTCCTTTTCTAGATTGTCTACTGTCTGGGGTCTATATTGGCAGCGAACCCAAAGCAGAAAAACATTAACACTGTATATTTAAGTATTTGTTTGAATATTCCAAGCGATAACAATCTCAATCACAATAATCAACAGTGTTATCGCATATTGCAGTGGTACAAGATAAACAAGATAAGTTTGTGCACGAGATGGAAGGCTGACAGGCAGGTAGGCCATCCAATTATCTGCCGCGGGCCGAGGCAGATAATTGGACTTGTTTTTTACAGCGCCACGGCTTCCACAGATGAAATATTTGTATATATTTATTGTCAAAGCATTTCATTTATTCATTGCTATCGGGATGTTAAGAGCATTCCATGGAATATAACAAAAAGTGTTTCTGAAGTGAATTACCTACCCTACCTTTAATTATTACAACTTCTACTCCACTACAATTCAGAGGTAAATGGTGTACTTTTATTCTACTACATTTATTTAATATCTTTAGTTACTTTACAGATTTGGATTAATGATGTGAAATATAATCAACTCTTAAAGGTCACCTATAATGCAAAATTGACTTTCTGATGTCTTTTATACATAAATATGTGTCCCCCGTGTGTAAGGAGACTCACAAAGTGTCAGAAAATACAACCCTCTCTCTTTTCCTCCTTACCCACATCACTAAAAATGGGGGACCAACGCAGCTGATCCAGATTTGCTGCGGTCATGTCGACATTACTAAAATGTGGGCTGGCTTTACGTTGAACTCCTGGCAACGTCCCGCCCAACCTATAGTCCCCTATCAGAAACGTCGCTGTATCAGAAACAATGCACAACGTGTTTAGAAGTAATATGGTCTGTGTTTACATTAGCAAGCATCGCTAACAATCAGAGCTAACGCTGTACTGGAGAGAATATGTGTAAAGAAGCCGGATATAAAAGGTACTGACCTTGTAGTAAACCCGCGAGAGAGAATGCGTTTGTCACCTCCCGTTTGGACTACTGCAACGGTGTCCTGTTTGGGGTACCCAACAAAACCCTGGACAGGCTCCAGTACGTCCAAAACTGTGCTGCCAGGGTACTCACGCACATCACTCCCACCCTCATTCACCTCCACTGGCTGCCGGTCAAATCCCGCATATCTTATAAAGTCCTCCTCCTGACTTACAAGTCCCCCCATGCCCATGCCCCCCAGTACCTATCGGACCTCCTCCGCCCACATGCCCCGACCCGGAACCTGCGGTCCTCAGACTCTGGCCTGCTTACCACCCCCCGCACCAACCTGCGAACCTTCGGGGACAGAGCTTTCAGTGTGGCAGACCCCACCCTCTGGGACGCTCTCCCTGCGGTGGTCCGCAACATCCCCACACTTGACGCCTTTAAAAGGGCCCTCAAGTCCCATCTGTTTGCCAAGGCCTTCGCTCCCTAATTTATTTTGTTGTTTGGTCTGTCCGACTGTTTGTCTGAATGTTTTATTTTTTTTTATTTATGTTTGTTTTACTCCTGTTTTTTGCTGTAAAGCGACCTTGGGTCCCCTGAAAGGCGCTATATAAATCTAAGTTATTATTATATTATTATTATTATAAGCTCCATACTGTTTCAGAAATAATGCTTGATGTGGTTTGGAACATGATATGGCGTTTAATCACGGCAGCGTTTAGCTGAGTTTCTGCTGGTAGACAGCCTTCTCTTCTCACTGCTTGCATGCGGAGGGGGACACTCTGACCCAAGGGGCGTGACCAGCAGCAGCTCCAAAGGGGCGTGGTCAGCAGCAGCTCGGTAACATTTAAAGGGCCAGACCCAGAATCAGCACTTTAGTAACAGGGCTGAAATAGAAGAGTATCTGATTGGTATTTTGAGCAAAACACTTCAGAGAATTTTTTTTATAGATATGGCCCTATATATATAGCACAATATTCAATTTAGATAGCTGCTGATTGAAAACAATTGGCCAACTGTTATTCACGTATTGAATTAGACCTAATAATAATCTCAACACCCTTATCCTGTTGTCACTTTGCAGGAGGCTTCCATCAGCGTCTGGCTCCAGTTCAGTGACGACACTGCCTCCCTCCTCTCTTCCTTTTGGGACCTTCCCTTTTTCCTGCATCTCTCCTCATTGGCTGAGACTGTGGTTGTGGTGACACCCATTCCCAGCCAACGCATCTTTGCCAAGGGTGATGGAGGCGGGCCTTTACTGCGTGCAGAACTTTTGGTCTCTACCTGCACTGACCAACCAATCACCTCCAACTCTATCAGTGAAGGGGAAAGGGATTGGATGGACAGCGGAAGAGGGGGAACCAGGAGGCTGGCTGGAGGATCGGGTTGGATAAGAGTCAACCTAGACCACGGCTTCTTACTGCCAGATGGGGACAGGGATGAGGAAGGCGATAAGTTCAGGCTTCACATTACAGACACGCTGGTTGAGTCGGACAGCGACATCTATGCAGCAAACTTTGACGGGGACGAAAGTGAAAATGTTAGCAGTGACTACTTTAACAAGATCAATGTTAAGAGACCTGATAAAAACTGGAATGATGTGTGGAACAGAGGAATGGTCAGTCAGAATAATCTGGAAAGAGCTGTGCTCATGCCAAGCCTGGAGGAGGGTGTTGTGTACTTCTCCCCTAGTCAGGAGAAAGAAGAAGAGGGAGAGGAAGGGCAGGGAGAGGGAGAGGAAGGGCAGGGAGGGGGAGAGCTGAAGCTGGGTGTGGGGGCTGTCCTCTCTCTGCTCTGTCTCTCTGCTGTCCTGTTCCTGGCTAACTGTCTGCCCTGCGCCCTGCAGGACAGAAGGAGCCCACTGATGGGGGAGAACAGGGAAGCAGGACTAGAGCGAGCCGCAGAGAAAGAAGAGGAACAGGAGAGAGAAAAGATGGAAGTAGAGAAAAGCAAAAAAGATGAGAGAAATAAGACAGAAGGTGAAGATAGGATAAAGCAACATGATATGAACAATAAAGAGGATATTAAAGAAGTAGAGATCATTTGCTGATATACAGTATGTGCATGTATGGACAGTATGTATGCAGTATGTGTATTCACAAGGAACATGAAGCAAGCTTTTTTGTAATAGCGTGCTTTCACCTTGATAGTACAATCACTAAGAATGCATCAAATGTAAAATTCTGGGCCGATACTGATGTTTTTGTCATTGTTGTTTATTTAGTTATATTACTGTTAATTATCCCCTTTCTGTGTCTGGAATACAAAAATACACCGGCAGAACAACCACTGCATCACTCTCCTACTCTCTAGACAGTTTGTGATCTCTCTGCTCGGCATTTATTTGTTACCCACAGTGGAAAGCTGACATAACCTATTTGAGCCTTTGTTCAGGCTGTTGGCCAACTCATGGAAACCAGAATCTAGATCACACACATCTAAAACAAAACTACTGGATCATTTAGCATCCTGAAAATCTGGGCCGGGTGGTATGTCCTTAATGTATATGACAGTGTAAATAAAGCTGATTAAAGAGTCTGTGACGTCACCCATAGCTTCCTTCAGAGCAGATAAGCAGACGAGGGCAAAGAGGAGCCGAGGTAGGCCTGGCTGCCATCGAGTTTGAAGCTACCAAACTAACTGAGGCTAACAAGCTAGGCTAACATGCTCAGCATCGCTGCCCTGCATTGCTAGCTTAACCTGCGTATGTTGCTCTCATAGCATGTTGATTTAGGTAAGTAAATATTAATCTATAGAGCAAAACTTCATATAATTGCTGTTAAAAAAAAACTTCACGATCATAATGCCGTCATAGTTTTTTAGATTTTCAACTGCCGTAGGTTTCAACACTTGAATCAAGCAAGGGTGCATTTATATTTGTACATGACTCTAATTTATGTTTATTTGGTATTACAATTTTTTTAATAAATGATTCCATCAAAGACGCACTTAACCTTGATTATGTTTCTGAAATCAAATTGTTGTCACTGATACAGATGATAACAGTCTGTTGGTTTATTGAGTGTGAAAATATTAAAAGCATGTTTAACCTGTTAAGCCCGGAGCCTGTTTTTCTCGAAAATTACATGCCCAGAACAAATGACTAAATCTTCACTTCTAAAAGGGGTAAATTAATAATCTTTTTTCTCAAAGCAATGATACACCTGTGAGTTGGCTGTAGAAGTGTCAGAATCAATATAGATGTTTTTACTTTAAAGTAAATTCCGATTGAACATAGTAAAACAATTTAAATTATAGTTTCCGTCTAAAAAAAAAACATGACTTATAGTGAAAACCACCCTTGAATGATGGGATAGCAGCCAAAAACCTCAACATATAATAAGTACCCTGTATCAAGATTGATGCAAAACAAGTGAATTTTGACCTTTTTAGAGAGGTTTAGAAAAGAAAACCCACCTCTGGAACCCATTGGTCGATTTTGATGATTGACACCACTTTTTAACCGTTAGAGCCAATAGAATAGTGAGAGTGATGCGTGAGAGTGATGCGCATGCAGTTTGCCCAAAACCGAAAGCGCCGTTACACTCTATATGAAAAATAGGTTTATTGCCATAAATGTTATGATAGATTATCAGTAATCATTTCAAAGGGACACAGAGACATTGTATTAACCTTCAGCAGCATCTATATGCGTTTTAATGCCCTTGAACACAACTTTTGATCAGAAAACAGCAAAGGTAAGACGTATTTGCTATTTTGGCCCCGTAAAGTGAAGTTGTGTGTTGTCTTTCCTGGCTTTCGCTGCCGTGAGTTTTGGTCGCACAGTGATGATACTTATACCAAAGGAATATGTGGAATCTCAGCTTTCATATGATATCTAGTTTGTGCAGATAGCATGAAGTATAAAATATCTCTACCGTGAGTTATGTGCTGAGTGCGTTGGCATTTTTTCGCTTAGTGCTAATTCAGAGGCTTGGTATTACCCTTGTGTTTTGTTTAGCTAAAAATGGTTAATATTGTCTGATAGCTGAGTTTCTTCCCGTTAAGTGGGTATGACACATTAATAGGTTGTTAAATGTTAAGACGCCCTGAGACACAGTTTCGAGCAATATTGTTGTGTTTGCCCCCGCCGGTGGGGGCAATCGGGCTTAACAGGTTAAGTGGTTAATGAAAAACAACTACATAAGTAATTAAACAAACTACTTATAGTAGATCAACTACTTTATTCAAAAGTTTACAGTTATTCTGGATAATAAAATGGGAAAAATAAACGGGGTACTCTCTTTTCCTCTCCCTCTCCTGACAACCCGTCAGTATCAGTCTCATGCAGCTCGCTGAACCTGTAATAACTAATAAGTGACCCGACGGTAAAGAATAAACATATTTGTGGTGGCGTTTTAATCCTTGTCTACAATTTAATAGCCACCTCTGTCGGGGTTTTGACGCGCCTCTCTTTGTTTCCAAACAATTCAGCGGAGATCGTAGTTGAATCAGATGAGCTTTATTCATTGATTCACACGGCATATACAGGAGGACACATTTTTTCGCTGCATAGTAACTAAAGGTTTATCATTTTCAAAAGGAACAAAAAGAACACGGTCAAAAGACTTTTCCGTTTCCCCGTCTCATCACCATCAGCTGTGTCCTATCAACCTACCATATATAGGCATATAGCCATGCACGTGATACTGACGCACATATCATAACAAATAAGTGAGCCTTAAATTAATACATTTTAAACCATAGTATGACTCACAAAAATACCTTTAGATGGTGAGTTTAATCTAATTTATATTATTATCAAGCCTAACTATCAGACAATAATAACTCAATGAAAATGGCTCTAACAATATTTATAACTAGCTTGTTCCAGAGGTAGATAAAATACCTAAGTGTAGGTCTAACTTGAAGTGTGTGTTTTGCTCCGCTCAGCGGTCCGTCACAGCGGCGGAGCTGCAGGTCAGATCAGCTGCTGCATTTCTCCGTCAGCAGCAGCTGATCAGGGGCCTCATTTATAAACGTGGCGCACGCTCAAAAGATGGCGTACACCAATTTCTAAGCAATCTTTGCGATTTATAAAAAAAAAACTTGACGGGAGGATGTGCGGTCCTCCACGGACACTCTGACCCCTCTGTAACCAGTCTGTCAGGTGTGTGAAAACTGGACCAGTATTCCAGGTTCTTAAAGGATGGGTAATAAATGAAGTCGAACACCAGAGTGAATGAAGTGAATACTGAGATTTTATAAAGAAAAATATATATATATTGGCACAGGAATAAACAACATTCTTCTAAATAATTCCAATTGTGTTTAAAGCGCTTGACACTTGGGTGCACCCCAAATAAAATAAAAAGAAACCCCAAAAGAAAATAGTTCTTTGTTCAGTCCCTGTAAGGTCCTCTCAAAATCCTACCACTGGTAGCGGAAAGATGAGGTGTTCAGGTTATCATTGGTAGCTCGCCATCCCCCTCGTCAGGGAGTCCACAATCCAGAATCCAGAAAATCCGGAATCTTCTTATCCAAGGGTATCATAAAAACCCAGCCTGTGTAATATAACACGGCTTAAAACATTGCAAATGTATCTTCAACACATGTGCATCAAATATCATAACTGTGCAGTGCTAAATTATCAATGCAAATATACAACACATTTAGATACCATAATATGGAAAACTGTTGCATTGTAAATAAAAGATTCATTCTAAATGCACTACTAAAACACACTGACTTCAATAACCATGAAATCATGAAATGTAGATCAAGATAAGCATTTACAGTTTAAACATTAAAGGTAGGGTAGGTAAGTTTGAGAAACCGGCTCGAGATACACCCTTTGTTATATTCCATGGAATGCTCTTAACATCCCGATAGCAATGAATATCTTAAGTACTTTGACAAAAAATCCATACAAAAAATGCATCTGTGGAAGCCGTAGTACTGTAAAAAGCACGACCAATCATTTTAGTCGGCCCGGCTAAAATAACTGGATGGCCTACCTGCCTGTCAGCCTTCCATCTGTGCACAAACTTATCTCGTGCCCTCATTGGTCATGTGCGCGTTCGTGTGTGTTGGAGGAGGGGCTCTATAAGGAAGTGGCAGATTTTCTCCGGTTGTGTATTTTCAAATTCTAGCGATCTCGAGCCGGTTTCTCAAACTTACCTACCCTACCTTTAATGCTCAAAACATTGTAGTAAACAAAATAAATGTCTAGTGCTTGTTAGCACTGTATAGTAATACACAATATATAGCTACTGTAACTCTATCAACCATAACTCATATTTGCTCAATTTAACTGAACTCTCAAAAGAGCTAGGTGGCTAACACACCACGATGGCTGCAGCATGCAGGCAGCAACTAGCAGGTAGCATGTAGCGTATTGCTTCACTCACCGAGGAAAATAAAATAACAATCAAAACTCCCGCTTTCCAAAGCAGCTCCAACCTCCAACGACAGCCCCAGAGATTGGTCCACCGCCGTCCCGGTAAAACTCTTAATTTGCGCTGTTTTGTGCATATAATGATCACAAGTGTCTCCGTTCTTCCAGCGTGACGCTGCTCCCTCACACACGTCTTCAACGTGCCCTCACTAACCTGAGTGAGGAGGCGGGACTTGGCGGATTTTAGTCCAACTGCAATCATGATTGCGTTATGAACCAATGAGCTTTGTTCTTAAAAGTTGACCATTAACCTGTTAAGCCCTGAGCCTGTTTTTCAGGTCTCAGGCTCGAAAATGACATTCCCAGAACAAATGACCATATCTTCCCTTCTAAAAGGGTTAAATTAATAATCTTTTTTCTCAAAGTAATGATAAACCTGTGAGTTGGATGTAGAAAAGTCAGAATCAATATAGATGTGTTTTATTTTAAAGAAAATTCAGATTTTACATAGTAAAAAACTGTAAATTATAGTGTCCGTCCAAAAATTATTTTTTACTTATAGTGAAAACTACCCTTGGATGATGGGTTAGTAGACTAAAAGCTTTAGGAATCCAAAGTACAACATATAATAAGTACCCTGTATCAGGATTGATGCAAAACAAGTGACATTTGACCTTTTAAGAGAGATTTAGCAAAAAGAAACCACTTCTGGG